TCTCACACACACACACACTCTCTCTCTCCCTCTCTCTCCTTCTATACTATGCAGCTTCAACAAATGGCATATTAGATGTTTGGAGCCACAAAGGAAGAATGTTTGACACAAGTCACAAATGATATATGGTTGGGATGTAAACACTGCAATGTGCAATTAAAGTCTTTAAGTTAGTGAATATAGTGAAGCAGTGTTCGAATTTGATTACCCAGCCATGGAATTAAAAAAAAACTTCAGTGAATATACTCCACTCTTTTGCAGTTAACGCATAACTAGTACGATCATTACCATTTCATTGTACAACATTGTCAAACCCTGGTTTCTGCACCCACACTACATTCTGATTCATCCTCATCCAGTTAGATTTGCAACTTTATTTCATTTATATTTGGCAGAACGTCGAGTGTGTGTGTGTGCGTTGTATGTTTATGTTATAACAGTCCTGTCCTCAGTTGTTTTATTGCTAGGCATGGCATTTAACATAGCCCAGAAGTTGGTTGTTTGGTGGACAAAGCCTCCATCGTGATAACATGTATTTTTTTTTAAAGATCCTAGCTAATTTATAACAGTTTAAGCCCTGGACCAGGCTATCCCATTATTCCTTGCACTGAAAAGCCTACCCCTGTCTTGCTTTATTTGTAGGGCTGAAATGCAGCTTGAAAGGAGATCAGAGAGTGCAGGAGGGCCTTGTAACAGGAGAGTGACCAAATGACCTATTGGCTGATTATATGTCATTAACTGGAGACTCCACGTATCTAAATTACCGAGAGGACCTCACTCAGCCGGGTCAATTATCCTTACATACATTTAACAAAGTTTCCTACTGCTAAAAATACTGAGCACTGTCGTGTCTTACTATGTGTCAGAAATAGCCTTCCTCCAGGCTATTTATTTGTGTGAACTCTGGGGAAAAAATAGGGCCAATTTGACAAAGCATTCTACCTATTCCAGGCTTATTAGACTGATCCCGAGTCTCCATATACAAAAGCTTTAGCTGGTAGTAGCTGAATAATGATGCTGGACACGGTTTAATTATGTATTAGGGAAGTATATGGAGCAAATTACTATATATACTCATAATATATACTATATAATACAATCATAAATACACAATAAACAACATTTTGCATTGATAGAAAGAGTATATTTTGTGGTAGTTATTAATTTTATATACAAAACAAGCTGGGAAAAAAAGAGAAACTCAAACGCAAAGATGTTATAGAACTAAACTATGAAAACTCGACGGAGGGCTGGGGAGTTTTGCTGTTGCCTATAGCAATTAGCCATGTTCTTTGTTCCATTAGAAAGATGGAATCCACTTTGTTGCTATGGGCAACAGCATCAAGCTTGATTTTTCTTCAGGCTTTTCTTTGCTTAAGATTTCCTAAAGTGCTTCCAGAAAGAGAGAAGGCAAATGTAATGATTCACTAAATATGTAGGAATTGTTCACTTAGCAAAGGAAATAAAATGAAGCTGTGTTCACTTTTCATAGCCAACCATATGCAGGGAAATGACCTACAAAAATCAAGATTATGCCTTGCCCTTGATTGAATAATTAAAGTGAACACAACTTCACTTTATTCACTAAGGGAACTTTCTCTATTCTTCTCAACTTCATAGTGTGCACTGAAGCAAGAATAACCTCATCTATAGGAGTTTGTTATAGACTAGAGAGAGAAGGATTTGGTGTTAATATGGACACACATAAGACTGGGGTTTATTTTCTAAAGAAATAAAGTGTTCACCTCCTATCAATATAGAATATTTCTCTTGCACATGTTTACGTTTATAAAGTGCCCTCAAGTTCACCTTATTTACTATCATCCTCCAAGTGAACATTTTCATTTCATCTCCTTTAGGAAATCAGCTAAGTAAACCGGTATGTCATATTTTGGAAGGATGTATGGAGGTGTATATATATATAACTTCTCATTAGCATACCTTTGTGACATCACAACCTGTTCCTTTCTGTTGTTATACTATACTGACGTGATGGTTGAACGTGAACCCAGGTGAATGCAGGTGATTCGTCTATGGCTGAACGCTCCCAATGACAGGCGCTGACAGCAGAATACACCTGATACACAGATCGGGGACTCCCTCCTCCAAGTACTATGATAGTAGCGGCCCCCGGGCATTGGGCTGATTTACTGCTATATCACTAGTGAATGGATTAGTACAAATTTCAGCGTCTACCTGGCCATGCCTCACAGAGGTATTCCAACCTTCACTGCATCTCTCAGGCTTCACACCCACAAATACAAGACTTTGAAGAATTCCTGGAGCGCTCACTACAAAGCTGCACATTTATCACATTGACGACTTGATTGTTGTATTACAATTCTACAAAAATCTGAGACCACATTTCTATATTTCTGAGATTTGCATGTAGCACAGCCCTCAACCTGAAATATCAGTTGAAGTAACAAGCTTTAGATAATAGCCATCGGGCTGGAAAATGACTGAGCTTTGTACCTTCTGCATGGAGCACTGCATGTATTTCTATCTGCCAGTCAAGGCAGGCCTATTACCGCTTGATGAAAAAGCATGTGACCCTTCTAAGCTATACCTAAAAAATACCTTTTTTTTTCCAAACTAAAATTAATTTGCTGTATATAACTAATATAT